GCAGCAACCCACCCACCCCCCAGACACCCAGCTCAGGTGGCCCCGGAGGGCACCACAGCTGTGGAGGGAAGGACCAGGTCCCTGCAAAGATCATGCAGGCAGGCAGGTTCCGGGGGGGAGGGAAAATCAGGCTCCCTCCTTTTTTTTTTTTTTTTTGGCTTTTGTGGAGCCTGTTTTCCTGGGTTGCTACCAGGCTGCCTGCACAGTCCCTGAGCTGCACGGAGCCCAGTGCTTTGCTCCATGGCTGTAGGGCAGCAAACTAAAATTCCTTGGAGATGTTTTAGTTTGCTGCACCCCAAAGTCATTACACCACCAAATGTGCTACACTAGCTGGAATTAATGCTCAATACACTGCCAACACGTGCAAACACCAACACCATTAAAGCAATGTAAAGACATTTAACCCACTTTAAAGTGCCGTGCACACATGCCCCTCATTTCATCTATACATGCCCCTAGATGCCTAAGTGTCCCATAGAAACCTAATAAGATCTGGTTCTAGGTATTTTTATTGTTACATTCAATTATTAAAGGTGTTTGTTTGTTTGTTTGTTTTCTTTTTTGGACACAGGAGCTGTGAAGGACAAAACATTCGATACAGAACATGCAGCAATGTGGTAAGTGAAATTTAACTGTCAGAGTCATACTAATAATTAAATAAATGCTGAATATGATAACATAATATAAATAAGTAAAGATTGAAACACTATGATAGTACCATAATTATTTCTGGTGCCACAAGAGTACTGGAAAATTATTTTTCATCTCTGGAGCTAATCTAGAAGGTATGGAGGAGATATGGTAGGATGATTATCTTGCCTGGTTACAGTTACTAGTTTTATAAAATAGACCAAGTCAGAGATGTAGATTCTCCATTAAGTATTACCACTGTGGTAGCACCAAGGGCCTCATCCTCTACTCTTTATTTTAGTAAAACTGTGAATTTCAGAAGATCTTACTGCAGGACTGAGCCTTGAAGAATCAATCTCCACAGAAAAGAGGAGGAAATTATTGACAGGCAGCAGAGGATAACATGTTTACCCACATCCAAAAAACTTTGAATATAAAATAACCCCCCAATACTTAGATTCTATGTATGGAAAAAAGTTTTAATAGGTTATAATTTTCCAGGCATAGTGCCTAATTATTGGAGTATCATCTTAAATTCATCCCCCTCCCATACTGCTACAGTGGGTAAAGGGGTGGGGAGAAGCATCTCCTTTGCCCTCTACCTCCCTATTTATTCCCCATACAGCCTGCCTGCCTGTCCACCCCCTGGTCCATCCCACATTCCCTCTTCACCCCCAGCCCTTTTCCCATCCCCAGCTCTCCAAAGCCTCTTCCCTC